TTAAACATGAAATAAAAATATTACAAATAATGAAAATTAAAAAAAATTATTAAAAGTAAGTTTATAATTTAAAAAACTTTACGACTGCGTAATATCAAAGGAACAGAAAGAACGTAAATGTTCTACGTGTTTATAACATTCTTTTTGATAATAAAACCGGTACATTTCGAAAAGGGTTAAAGCCCGTTCTTCTTTAAGGAAGAAAGGAAGTCGGCGGAAGGAGGAAAAGAAGACTCGTCCACGTGCTCTCATACGATACGTTTCTAAAGCGTCGAGACGTCTGAAGGTATCCAGGAATGCGGGCCATGCAGAGAGTTCTAAAGAGCTTCCACAATTTCGCGTGCATCCATCCTTAGAGGTTCCTTCGCTTTCACGATTTCTTCTTGGACCTCATCACCCGCATCTGTTCTTATCCTTTATATCATATCATATCAAGTCACCTTTATCACGTACGACTATAATATATCATAGAATGAGGTCGGAAAATAATTAGGATTTATTATATCTTTGATGCGTAAGTTAATACTTATAAATATTCATATTAATACGAAAGAAATATTAATATTAATATTAATATTAACATAAAAAAACATTAATGTTAATTAAAAAATTTAAATTTATATTGCTTGAAATAAAATCATTTTTCTAACAAAATTTATATAAAGAATAGACACTTTGATCATTAATAAAAAAATAAAGAAATTACATCATGGAATAGAAATGCGACATAATTTTTATAATTTTAACTCAATGTAAATATAGAAATTATTTTTCTTAATCTAATCTTTACACACTTCTTACTATACAATATATTTCTTCTTGCAATTAAAATCGTTTCGTTTTCTTTTCATGAATAACTTTATTCTTTATTGAGATTTAAAAGATATTTTTTCAAAAACTTTATTGATTATATTCTTTTTGAAGTCTTCTCTTTTTTAATTTACATTATAAAAAATCTTTGCAATTGAAAATCATATTTTTGATCGTAAAATTAAAAGATTATTTAAACAAGATTTATTTAAAATATATTGGAGAATGAAGTTATTAGTGTACTCTCTCTCGCGAAGGTTAATTCGTTAAAAACATTTAATTCTTAATCGTTAGCGCCTCAAAACCGCGTTATTGTAATAATTGCTATCTCTCTAAGTTCGCACTTTAACCTACAATTCTGCAAAGTCTGTACTACTAAACTTTTGTGAGAGAATAGAGAACAGTTCCGCAAGCTCGTATTACGGAGCGCCATCATTATGAACGAAACATGCGCGAGTACAACCGATTTGGCTACTTCCAGTACACCTGTCGAGACTAAACGGGACGTAAACGAGGACGCGCACATCCGACCCGCGCACTTTTTAATCAGCATCAAGCCCGATTAAGCGGAATCTGCTAGCTATTCTGATCGGTCAGCATTGTGCCGCGGTGGGTGCTTACGCGGCACGTTGCGAAAATCATTGTTCATGCCAGATGGAGAGAAACGTCTGGTATATCGACCCGCAAAATCGCTCTTGCATGAACTAACTCACGTTGATTTTCGATAATGTTATATAATCAGAATGAGCCAAGTAGTCAGCTCACATTCGTGAAAACTTTGCTTCTTTCATTAAATTATGCACTTTTTTTTAATGAAAGATATAACTGTAAGAGAGATTATTTGCATTTTGCAACAAATATTTTTCTATATTTTGCAAAATTCGCGTTAATTTAATCGGAATTTTATGTAATAGGTGTCTTTTTTAATTCAATTAAATAAAATGTATCGTTAATATTCAGTAATTAATTATTCAGAAAAATATTTATGTTTGCTTTACTTTTCATACATGAACTTTCCGAGAAGAAATATTATTTGACATTCAATCGATATTGGATGTTTGTTACAATTAATATTTCTACTCTATTCTCCGAAAGTTCACATATGAAAAGTAAAGCGAAAAGAAGAACCTAAATAACGACACTTGCTGATAGAATATCATATATTTCGCTTTTGTCCAACTATATTTATATTCGCGTGTTAGCACGAGTTAAGAGCCCTCCATTTGTTAGCGCGAGCAGGGACGAAGGCGACACTAATTAATGCGGCGATACTCGTCAGCGAATCAAAGCAACGCAATGAGCTCTTCCGCGCGTTTGCATTCCTTGCACGGTCCTCTTCCTTTTTCCTTGGTGAGAGAAAGAGAGAAAGGTGGAAAGGGCGAGAGGGGGATGGGCAGATAGAGTGCTAGAGGGTGAGGACGTCTCATCCCTTAAGAGGAAGCCTTAATAGGATGCGCCGGCGGTTGCCCTATACGCGCGATATTCTCTTCCCGCTATCGGGAAGGTGTTAGCTTCCGGATCCGTGCATTCGCAATTTGCATTAGCCGGAGCGAATTACGCGAAATTTATGCGAGTCGAGGATACGGCCGGGGTTGCCTTCGCTTAAGCGTATTCGGGGCCACTTAGGCGGCCGCTCCAGCGGTGGAGTCGCTCTACTTATGGCACCGTGGACAGCTAATGTCCGCAACTATTTCTCTCTCGTCGTACAGCCCGCGCTTGCCGCCTTACAATATTATTCCACGAGCATTGTGTCTTACTCACCGAGAAAGACAGAGAGAGAGAGAGAGAGAGAGAGAGAGGAGGGGAAGGAAGGGAGAATAGCACGTTTGCCAAACGACTATGTCGGCCCACGATTAATCGTCGTACCGTCGACATCGCGTTTCGCTCGATGCCATTGCGCGTGTAAGGTGTCTCTTAAGAAAGGACAAGAAACGATAGATAAATACCATATCCTCCTCGATAAATTATTATAAAATTTTTTACAAGTGAAAATTCAATCAGTGACCCACAATTACCAGACATTAGAAAAATTTTGCCGCTTTACGACTATCGCTTTTCAGTGTGAGGCACGTACAACTTGAAATAAAATGCAAATCATGATTTTATTACGGTTTTGGCTTATATCTTAAGTCACCAAGCTATAATTCTCCTATCCAATACAATAAATTATACAATATTATAAATTATACATATTCTTTCGGATATGATATCACAATTTTTGATAAAACGTAAAAGTGTAAATATTTTGTATGCTATTTGATCTATGTATTGAGACAAATAAACTTGGAAATGTCAGAGTGTAAACAGAAAAGAAAGAATTATTATTTTTCAATTAATCCAAAACAGGTTTTATTGTAAAAGAATTCAATTTTTAATCTGGTAATAATCTAAATTGACATTAACGAGTTACGATAGTCGCATATCCAAAAAATTTATTTACAGAAAATAAGTAAAATAATTTGTCTATACTTTTTCCGAAGTATTCATAAAAAACGGCATGTTAATAATTTAACTATTAATACAATTGCGACATGTAGATAACGAATGATATACCTCTGCATTGTAGTGAATGGAACAAAATAACATTTGACGCTAAATTAATGAAGTTTTAAATGCGAAAAATATTTTGCTCCCGAAATCGATGATACAGATGCATCTCGAATCGGGATATACCTGTGGATTGTATCTACCAATCGGTTTGATCAATCGACTCGCGGCATGCTCTTTCAATTATCTCGGGACGGCAATTTCGATCGGACATGAAAATTAATTGCTCGCGTGACGCACATTTGATCACGGCAATTTGTATCTTTTTTTATAACTGTCCTCTTCCGCGGAGCATCTCTTCCGTGATAAGCGTAATGTTTACAATCATCGGGAGTAATTCGGTTAGAAGAAATCATTCTTCTAATGTTAAGGCAAGTTGTAAAACGCTAGTAAACAAAAATACATAGCGGAGAAAATGGTATTATGGCCAATGTATAGATATTGTGGCCTCCCTTAACATCTCCGCTATTATATAACGAATATCCTAACTTACTTACTGGAATTATTTGTTCAGTACCCCGTCGATACATCATGACGTTAACATGTCAATACTCAATAATCAGCACTTATTATAACGCATTTTTATTTCGGAACGTTTCTAAGGTATATTTTAGCATTTAATTTCACCTACTTTCTTATTTTTCTTAAACTTGAGCGTACTATCACACAAATATATGTATATTTGAGTGTGTTGCTTGCTACTTAATATTTTATTTGACTGCATACATTTTGAGTTATGCAATTTAAAGAATAGTATGGCATTTTGCTAATATGGCCCGGTTTTTCATTATTTCATTGGATGAAATATCAGGTTAATTTGGTTAACCTGATGTTTCATTCAATGAGCTTCATCTATGACATCATCATAGATAAACCCCATTGAATAAAGCATCAAGTTAAGCCTAACACAAGTTAATTAAGTGATGAAAAACCGGGCCTATGCGTATTGATTACTTACGGCCTCTTTTTGGAGGTTTTCCTATCAAAATAATTATTTAATAATCGATTGTAGCTCTACTGTTAATCAATAGTTTATATTACGTGTACTATTTTTAGTATTGAGAATTTTAGTACTGAGCAGCTATATATAGAAGTCATATGTACGTATACATTTATTTGCAAACATTCTAAAATGTTTTACTTTTTTATTAATTTGTAACTAAACATTGTTTTTTTAAACAAAACCTATTTTTTAAATCTATTTTTATAGGAGGCTAAATTACAGGATTACCATCCCTGTTTTTCTTAGAGTCATTAATGCAATGTTGCCTTTATAAATAATGTCCTACGTAATGAATGTTTCGTAACTTTGAGTTTAAAATCGATTGAACAACACTTTGATGAATGTAATCGTTAAGTTTTAAACTTAAATTTGTATTATTAGTCAAATTATTGTATAGAATATAAATGGAGAGCCGTAATACCACCATCTCCTCTACATACAATCGAATAATTTTACAAGTTATAAAAATTATTAAATCATATCTACTGAAAAGAATTAATTGTTAGAAAATTTCGCACATAAGATTGTGAATTCGCGTTAGACAGGAACGCACAGTTAAGGAGTTAAAAAGGCTAGAAACTTTAACTCGGGATGTGATTGTGCACTGTTAGAATTAATCTGGTAGAATATGATTACTCACTTTCTTGCCGTCCAGTTCGTGATTGCCCTGCGCCAGCACTTTGTCTACGCTCGCAGGGTCTGCGAATGTGATGAATCCAAAGCCCCTGCAAACAAACGAAAGCAGGATGTTTAATATGAATGTATGCTTGTCGCTCGGGACATTAATTAAGCAAGCATTTGCTGATAGTAATAGTATTTCCATCGTGAATGCGTCTAAAGATAGCGATTGTAGTACAACGGCACACGTTGCAAGATACATATCTCAATGTAGCGCATACATCAAAGCTCGATCATAAAAAAGCCGATCTCTCTCTCTCGTGACCATAATACATTTTCGTATTAATTCATTCTCATAAATCGCGCGCGAGATACGATAGTATTAATTCTCTGAATGAGGTAATTTCCGCTCCTTTTATTTCCGCGATTAAAAGTAGTCATTAAAAAATAATTGATTACTACCGCTTTTCTATTTTACGCATTAAAAATTATGCTAAAATAATCACTTCAAGCAGTTTTGAAATATCTACTCGTAATATATCGCGATTTTATTTATCTCTCTAAATCTGAATCAGTGGATAATCATTGATTATTATTATTAGTCTGTCACTGTTAATCAATTCATATAGTGAAATTCAACTAAAAACTTAATCCCTTAAACGTGGAAATGTGAAATCCCTAACCCAGCTAATTCTGCTTTATACATTCAGTGTATATGATATTGGAACTGAGAGCAAATATCGATAATTATAACGCTCAAACTTCCTTTCTTTTCAACTGAATATCACTAATTATATCACTAATTCAAATTTAGATTACAAACGTATTCATTATAGTATTGAATTAAGTTAAGATTAACAATGGATTAATTCTTTGCGTTGTCTATAACAACAATTAATCAATATATTATAATAATATGTTCCAGTTTTAGAATATATGTTAGTTACAGAAATAACAATAAACTAATACTGAAAATATGATCGTACTAAATATGATTATAAGTAGATTAAGCTTCATTAAATGACATACATATAATAATACATATAATTAATAATAATATATTCAACAATGTTCCTGCACGTTAAGTAAAAAAATGGTATTAAACAATTTGATTCAAAAAGTTTATTATTTACTAAGTATATACGTTTAATGTGGACGTTGTTTACTTTGAAATTATCCAAAAATAATTAAGTTAAATTTTGACACATATGGAAGTTAAAAATAACAAATTGTTACTTTTAACTCAAGGAATTGGATTACCATTACTTTTTTTGATGTCTAACGGTGTGTGGTTGCTAATTCATCAGAAACCTATGCAAATTCATAGAAACTGCCAGTAACATTAAAATCTAAAGGATTAAAGTGAAACGAATATCGGGCCTAGCGCGGTCCGTTATGTCATAAATTTCACGCCGGACATCGTGTACACACGGATATATTAAAAGACAGTTCGACGCCGTGAGCTAAGGGGGTGGATACCGCCGGCCGATCCACGAACAAGGGATGAGCGATACGACGATACGAGGGAATGCAACGCGCCGAGAGCCGGACGCAAAGCGGTTTGCATTTTTCATGCCGGAGCCGCCCCGGCAGTTATTGAAAATATTTACATGTTATTTATGGGGCACACATGCTTCAAGAACCAAACGCGCCACCGAGCTACCCCCGTCAATCCTCCCCGCGTGTTCCTCTCCTCGTCCACCTTTCGTACGCAAACCCCTTCTTTTCCGCCTCTTTTCCTTCAACTGCCTCCCTTTTTCTGTTTCGCCGTTCCCTGCGGAACGTCGTATTCCCGTCGCCATTCCCACCCTCAACTCCTTCATCCGCTCCCGAAGAGCAACCGCCCCCGGACCTGCCGGCAACGTCTCGAGAATTCTACAAAACGTTTCACGCCTCTCTTACTGCTTCCGCTTCCTTCCCACCGACGAAACAACGAATACTCGTATGGATTGAATTTTTGATGGAACCGACCCCTCCGGGCCTTCGACTCACCCCTCTTCAACCATTCCGCTTTCCATGCGTCGTCGCTTTCTTTCGTCTGCCTTCATCCGCGATGTACGGTGATTCTCATGCGTCGAGTGCGAGCTGCATGAAAGTATCGTGACAACTTCCTCTTGTATCGATTTCTTCGAGTACGCGATATCAGCTCGAATCAAGTCAATGACGAAAAAGGTGCGTACGTAAGAAAAATAAAGAGAAACCGGTGGCAATATGTACATTTGCGTACGCGAAATCGGAAGGTAGTCGATTGTTATTCCGCATCGGTGACATTCGAAAAGGGCACAATACAATGCTCCGTGTTTCCACATGGCGTTGGAAAAAAGCTAGTTTCACTCCCTCGTTCATTTTATAACAGCGAATTGCACCAGCGGCCACAGTTATTGCAATATCGCTGTATCAATACACACGACACGTATATACGAATATACGAAATTGTTCTTCCTGCAAAAATTTTACCATTTACCCATCGTATTCTTCCGTAATTTTCTTAATTCTTAATATTAATTCCTTAATATAAATTAAATGTACAAATATTTCCTAATGAAATAAAATATGCAAATAATGAGATCATCATACATATACAAGATATCCTAGAATTTGCAAACAACTTTTATCCGTTGATTCTCTGGACCAAATTTAAAGTCGATTTTTCTTTGGCTACAATATTGAGAGCGATTGCAAGTTTTCAATATTTCCAATATTAAATACCTTTTAAATACTGCCACGATTGGCTAAAAAATAGATGAAAGGCACAATATATAATACATATAATACACGTTCCGGCTCATAGCGTTCACGATGCCATCCGGCATTAGTGAACTCGCGATTTGCTCATGTGACTACGACAACTATATACGTACTGAATTTTGGGAGGTTTTTTACAGTACGCACGGCCGAAGCGACAATCGCGGCAAACGAACGGCCGCTGAATCGGCAGTCGTCCAATCAGCATTAAAACGCCAAACAACACGAGCGAGAACACCACGGGCAGTTCGCATTTGCATACAACGAAACGAGAGTTCGTCCGAGCGTTCTCTCTCTCTCTCTCTCTCTCTCTCTCTCTCTCTCTCTCTCTTCCCCTCTCTTCCTCCCTCTCGCACTCTCTTTTACAACAGCGCATTTATGACGATGTGCGCGCAATGTACTGAAATCATGAACAACGGCCTCGGAAAGCCATGCGAATAATTCATTCTTTTTCCGTCGAGCATCACCGGAATTTCATTAGAATTTATAGGTTCACTAATGATCATTGGAAAATTATTAATTGAATCATTAATTGGATCAATCATGTACAGTAATAGTAAAGGAGACAGAGGCTTATTGGCACAAGAGGCAAGTTAATATTGTGTTCCGTGTTTATGTATTTATCGTAGAAGAAATAAAGTTATTGAAAAATATCTCTTTTATATCATAGATAGCTTTCTCCAATTTTTGTTTAAATTAAACAAGTATTACAATAAAAAAAGAGATAAATCTGATTTAAGACGAGACAAGTAAATTGTCAAGTGTTTTATATTTATTAATGTTTCCTGAGAGACTAAATCTCAGTAATCTAGTATTAATTCAGAAAAACAAAAAAGTTTCTGTTATTATACAACATTTTATTATACAACATTATTTGAGTAATAATAGTAATTTGTCGTAATAAAACGATAAAAATCAAACATATGTAAAAATGAAATAGAATTGATTTATGTTCTTACAGCAAGTTTACTTTGCTGTAAGAAATATGTGAACACTCAATTTTAATTTAACTTTGATAAAACGCTTTGTATTTACTATTTCTATTGAAATAAGCTACATCTAAAATAGTTTGCAAAAAATTTTATTTTGTGACAAAAATCTTACACTTAAAAAAAATATATATATATATACATATTATCTTTTTCTTTATAGGTACATGAGCAATCTGTTTCTTTAATTTCTGTTATGTTTTAATTTAATATGAAGTTTGTATAGGCAAATTACATCGTCATATGTATCAATTTACTTCACTATCGGAGCAAGCTGGCTACACTGCAGCGTGTTTATATTTCACTTATTATTACTACAAAAAAACTACACTGAGAAAAAAATACTTAAAAATTTATTTGTGAAGAATATATTTATTTCACTGAAATAAATCTTTATTTAAGTACGACAAAATATAATAGAATTTCATTCTTAGCAAATGAATCATCTATTTTATTTTTTTGCAATTAATGAGATTTATTTAACAAAAATGTATATTTCGTAATTACAATTAAATTTTTTATAACTAATAAATATCGAAGAAAATATTATAATTAATGTATACTTCGCAACATTTTTTTCAGTATATAATCTGTTATGTAACAAAATTATACTTAAAATATCAGTGCTTTTTGATCGCTCGTACAAATATTTTACAATTCCACACAGACGTATATTTTTATATGAAATTTTGTGTAGAAGGAAAATTTACAAAATATTTGTCGCATTGATTCATTTATCTTCAAATACGTTTTATTATTAAACAAAGCATAATTGTAATTCTTTTTTGTACCGAAAGATTAAAATCGTCGCACATTTTCCTGTGAAAATTTTCGGCGGAATGTAATATCGTAAACACTGTTGAACACCGTTGGACTTAATTAAAAAAGAAAAATTAAACACATAGATTGCTTAGTAACGCTATTACGTGCAATCTTCATTCCGCATTCCTGACTAAACTTGGTTCCAGACTCACGGAGATTCAATCTTAATTTAAGGTAATTATTCACAATGAAGGATGAAAAAAACTGTATCTCGGCGAGTTACCAATCTTATGACGGTATATCAGAGAAGTCGAGGGCCACTCGAGAGTCATTCCCGGGATAAAGGATGGATCTATCGCGGACGCAATGCGCCATCGAGGCCCTGCCATCGCGCCACTCGTCACCCCCGGCCATTGTACGTGAATAATCTATAAAAGGCTGAGTAGAAGGATGGCGGCTGACGTGTCCCTTGTCTACTTGAGCACGGTTTCCACGATCCTCTACTTTTCATCCTGCTTCTCGTCCTCTTCACCCCGATCTCCGCCGTTCGACCGCGGTCGCTTCCCTCTCGCTCTACCTTCACCGACTTAACCGCTCTCCGACTGGTCTCA